TGGTTGAAGGCCATCGCTGTTAGGTTGGGGGCCATCGCTATCAGGTTGGAGGCCATCGCTATCAGGTTGGAGTTGGAGGCCATCGCTATTAAGTGGCAGGCCCTATTGGGTTGAAGGCCATCGCTATTACGTTGGAGGCCATCGCTTCTATGTCGTTGGCGCTTTTAGGTTTGAGGCCATCGCTATTAGGTTGGAGGGCCATCGCTATTGGGTTGGAGGCCATCGCTATGAGGTTGGAGGCCATCGCTATTAGGTTGGAAGGCCATCGCGATCAGGTTGGAGGTCATCGCTCATCGCTATTGGGTTAGAGGCCATCGCGATCACGTTGGAGGTCATTGCTAATCGCTATTGGGTTGGAGGCCATCGCTATTAGGTCGGAGGCCATCACTATTAGGTTGGAGGCCATCGCTAATAGGTTGGAGGCCATCGCTATTAGGTTGGAGACCATGGCTATGAGGTTCGAGGCCATCACCATTACAAGGTTCGTATGCAAATCGCAGTCAGTGGGACATCCATATTATTTGTGACTGTGGTGCATTATCATAGTGAGCATGGAAGCGCAACCAGTTGCGCACACCAACATTTTTCTCCATTTGATGCCCTTAAGAAACCTGTTATGAATGCAGGTGTGCCATGCTGATTTGATATGTTGATGTGACTGTTGCCTGTTGACTTAAACCCTTTGCTAGTAGGTGGGTCAGCCCATGAAAGTGGAGCTGAAAGATTGGAGGCAAGCCCACGTCAAGGGCCAAGCCTTTCATTTTGGCACTCCTCGCAGACTCCTTGTACAGTTTGCTTGTGGGAAGCTCAGTGCATTCTGCCGCTTGACCAAGGTGCCAAAGCTTTGCTTGACATCATCAGATGAAGATGAGTCTTTCCATGACGCTAAGAGACTTGGCCTGAACGCTTGGTTCTAAGGCACTTGTTACTACTAGTAAGGCACTTGTTTCTAATAGCTTTTTGTTACTACGTTCTTTTTAGTGCTGATATACATTTGCCAGGTATTCTTTAGGTTTTGCAGATTTGCTCAATACCTTTCGTGCAGCTTTGCTTTCTGTGTTCAAGGAAGGCGGTAGCAAAGCTTGTAAAGCAGGATGGTGAAGTTTTTGTGGCCGCTTGCGAGGCTGGGTGTGTTGCCTTTCCCTAAGTCAGTCTGAGAAATACCCCCTGAATACCGGTACGAAGAAGCTATTGTAGCTTAAGTAGCTAACAATGTTTCTATATTCAGATGCTGGGACGCAGAAGACGAAGTCTTCGCATGATTGATTTGATTCGTAAATTTTAACCAAAGCTTAGCCTTAGACTTAGACCTTTTCTCCCCTTCCTTTCTTCTTGAGTAGATAAGGAGGAATGACTGGACGAGACATCGTGCAAGATGGATTCTGTTTCAACAGCACTCCTGTTCTTGCAAACGATTTTCCGTGCACGCTATTGGCTACCTTGCAAAAGGAAAAGTAAGAGACACGAGAAAGGTACGAAAAAAGAAAGGTCAAAAGTAGATAAAGGACAAACAAAGTCGGAAAGGAGAAAACAAGCTGCGATTAGGTTGAAGGCCATCGCTATTTAGGTTGGAGGTCATCGCTTCTAGGGTTGGAGGCTCTGGCTACAAGGTTGGAGGCCATCGCTAGCAAAATGGAGGCCATCTCTTCTAGGTTGGAGGCCATCGCTATTAGATTGGAGGGCATCGCTATTAGATTGGAGGCCATCTCTTCTAGGTTGGAGGCCATCGCTTTTAGCCTTTAAACAGTGCAAGCTGCGTTGTATTTGTTGGAACTTTGGAGGTGAAGAGGCCGCAGTCCTTGGACACAGCACTAGGAGCACCACGCAATCCAGGGAGCCTAGGACACCCTGAAATGACACATGGATGCAAGTAGAAGGACCCAAAGGACCCAAGGAACTTCAACTAGCAGAACTAGCAATCTTGTGCAATGTTGACTTATGTTGACCTGCTCTTTGCACAGTTGTGGACATGTCAGTGACCTGTCATTGCATTTGTGAAGATTTGTGTGGGCTTTGTTTCAAGAAGGGGCGCTTTGCAAGTATTTGAGGTGTAGAAGGCCTTGCGTTTATCTATCTGCTTATGGCATCTTGTCTGCAACAACTCGCCGACGAGCCCAACCTAGCTCCATCATGCATCAACATATTGCCAGTATTCAGAACACATTTCATTTCGGTGAATCGTAGGGAACACCCCACATTGAAGACAAGTGACTGCGCCTGTGCTGTTTGTTTCAGGCACAACATGTCCCAACGGGAATTCTTGCGGCTACTGCCACTTGAGTCACACGGAGCGACGCACGACTCTGGACAAGAGGCACGACCTTCTGGAGATGTGGTTCTTTTGTAAACATCTTATTTTATTACAAGCGAGAGCTATTCATCGAACTCACAAAAATCGTTTTAGGAGGAAAAGATCCAATGTTTCATGTCCATGACAACCTAACTGGCCTACCGGGTGTTTTTCTTCCTTCGACAGTTATATGCGAAGGCCTGGGCACATGTGGAAGCCCACTAAGGAGACCCCTGTCCACATGTTGTCGGCTCGCCGTAGCCTGATTCTATCAGTCTAGGTGACACCAATACAAACACCAGGACACAAACATGACATATAACACGACTATAGCTGCCAAGGCTTGTATGCAACGATAGGCTGTGACAGTAACTTTTCCAGCCATGAAGAATGGACGTTCCATGAGCAGGAAGTTAAAACAGCTAACACCAATGTCAATACATGTGTCACGCCATGAGGAATTGTATTTTGCAATACAATATACTCCATAATCTTCCTGAAGATCTAGTAATTATGTGCAGTGTCAATCACATGGGCTCATGCATGTTTCTTCAAAAGAACCGGGCTTGCTCTTGATTTGCTACAGTAGGAAGAATCACTGTTCCTTGTGAGAACCAAGTAATTGAAGCTGCGCAGGCAACGGGAGTTCTTGAGGTCTTTGGAGGAGGGACAATTGATCAGTGTTCTCCTGCCGCACTTGCAAGCCAAGCTGACCTTGGGGAAGGCGAAGTTGCATTGTGATGGGAGTGGTCTTTATTTGTGTGTCTTTTTATGTCTTTTTGCCTCAAGACTCTGCCGGCTCAAAAACTGTTTTCCTTTGTGCCTGTTTGGTACGTCATGTCCCAGGTGCCAGCAGCAGCCATCCATGTGATCCAATATTTAGAAGCCCGGAAAGACCGTTCGTGGCACGCAGAGGAGCCCGGAAGTCGTGGGAAGAAGTTGTTGGCGATTAGTAACAGGTGCCATGCTAGTAGTAACAGGTGCCTTACTAGTAGTAACAAGTGCATCGCTATTAGAAACAAGTGCCTTACTAGTAGTAACAATGTTTGCTATTAGACTGTTGTTTGCTTCTAGGTTGGAGGCCATCGCTAGTAGGTTGGAGGCCATCTCTTATCGGCTTGTACGGATAGAAACAGCAAAATGAGTGCAAATGTGATGGGTGGAGAATTGTGGGTGGAAACAATGAATTTCGGCAGTATCAACAACTTGCATAGCAAAGGCGCGACATATTATGTCGTTGCAAAAAAAAAGGATCTTCCATTTGGTTACACACCCACGCCTTTCCTTGGAAGCAGGTTCCAGAGAATCTGGATTTGGTCCTGGGGCAAATGAGCCCCTTGTCAGAAAACTCGGCTGTGAGATTTGTTTACAACATTTTACAACCTCCCCGAGCCATCGGTGAGACGTGCCTTTGCAAAACGAATCACTGAGGCTTTTCTTGGCTGATCAGTCTCTTTCCCTTCAAGAACGACCCAGGCTTTGTTGACACTTTAAACTGTTTGCTGCTGGCCTACGCCACTCACATTCCAGCTTATGGGCAGTAAGCTTGCTGCCTGCTGACACTCTCCCTTGCTTCGGCACATTCGAAACCGAGGGGTTGGAACAAGATGCAATATGCGCAGTCTCGCAGTTGTGCGTGGAGAGACGTAGCTGTCGATCCAATCCTGGAATATCAGCATCGTCATTCAACATGGAGTCGAGTTTTACCTGCAACTGTTTTACACGATTGGATTGGCACACTTTCTATCTAATCTGTGACATCTACAGGTAGTAATAGGTCTGTAGAACCGCAGAGAACCTATGGCCCTCTTTGCAGGCTTTGCCATTCAACACATTTTTCCATTGCAATTTCATGAAGCTCTCCGTTGTGTCAGCAATTGTGTTGAAAGAATGCATGCCTGAAGAACAGTAAGCTGCCTGCAAAGTGGTCTCGAATTCAGCTTGACAGAGGCTTTTCATTTGGCATGGGCCAGAGAAGTCCATACTGATGGGCAGAACAATGTCAACAAGTGCATCGGTGCATCGCTACTAGTAACAAGTGACTTACTAGTAGTAACAAGTGCCTCGCTATTAGAATTAAATTAACTAGTAGCTTTTCATTCCAAGATTCATCGTGCGAAACCGATGCCACTGAGTTGGACATTCAGCTGCACATCCTTGTATATCCTGTATCTTCACGTACTCCATATATTGCCGCTTCTTTTTTCGACAAAAAGATTGTGCTGCGGTCCGGATGCCTTGGGTTTTTTGGCAGAACCTATATAGCTTTGAGATGTTTTGAGATTCTATTTTTCTTGGAGGTTGGGCGCGATAGTAGGAAAGGTAGAAGGTAGAAAGTGGAAGTCTTTAAGGAAGACGCTAGGAAGAAGCTAGTCTTTTGAGAAGCTAGTTGGTAGCTGTAGTGCAACTAGATAGCTAGATTTTTAGTTAGTGCTAGTTAGTTAGTTAGTTAGTTAGTTAGTTAGTTAGTAACTAGTTAGTAACTAGTTAGTACTGTAACTACTAGTAGCAACATGCAGGTGTTTCAGTTCTTTCAGGTACCGAAACAGCTTCCCCCTTCGAAACACGAGCTTCCTTCAAGAACCCTTGTCGAAAACGGCTCCGAAACGGGTCGAAGGCAACATTATTTGAATAATTTTCTTTGAAGATACTTTTTATTGCCTTTTCTTTTTATTCCTTTCTAATAGCGATGGCCTCCAACCTGACAGCGATGGTGAAGTCAAAATTTTAGAAGAAGGAATACAACATCTTTAGGCTTTATGAGTATTGAAGACTATGAGACATTCACTTGAAGTCTTGAAACAAGAACAGTCTTAAACATTCTATGCCTGCAGGCTGGAAGCTGCACTTAACCTGCTGCGGCACAAAAGTGGGCTCAATGTGCTTTAAATCTGCTAACATCAGCTAAAATCTGATTTCAATTGAGTGTGATGCAGTCAGGCAAGGACAATCATGGATACTTTTCCCACTGAACATTTTCTGCTTACAGCTGTGATAGCAGCCCGTCAGAACCTGACAGGATAGTTTAAGGCTCGGTCATAGAGAATTTGTGTTTTCGTTTCTTGAAGCTTTCCCAATGTCAAAAGTCTTCGGAGAAATGTGGATGAGTGATGGAATCAAGGCTCAACGCTTGATCAGGAGCTTGCAACATGTTGGGTAGGGGTTGTCTGGACCCAAAACTGAAATGCCAATAGACAACTTTAATTTAGTGTTAAACTGACCTTTGGTGCCTTGACGAGTCTTGGAATTGCTGAAGTTCCTTGTTTTCCGGTGTGTGCTGCTGCTTATCCACAAACTTCAGCCCACATTGCTGCGATATTGGCGACAATGAGGTGACATGGATGACAAGGTTGTGAACTCCATGACAGACACATACAGACACTAGACACTGTCATGAAATTGACGACAATGTTGTGAAACCGCTGACCCTCTCCCCATGTGTAGTGTTTTGTGTTGCTTCTACTACGCTACTCAGCCTCTGTAGCTAGTCTCACAGAGCTACCAAGTAGCGTTACCTCTTGTATAGCGCCCTACCCCCGGGCAAAAAAATGAAGATGTTTCACATATGTCTAATACATGTGTCATACAGTCTCAATATGCATGACAGACTCTTTTCTTTGCGGGGACCCCTGTACACACTCCCCGCCCCAACATTGTGAACTCAGCAATGTGGTGGAGCTGATGTCAATATTGTGAAATATAATCACGCTGTGAAGTAGATGACAGTGTGGTGAAATCGATGACCACATTGGAAAACCGATGACAACATGCTGTGAAGCTGAAGATGTGAACATCTTGTGAGGTCCCGGCAAGCTCTCCCCGTTGACCCCATCAGATGGCCTCCAACCTAATAGCAATGGCCTCCAACGACGTGTTGAAATATTGCCCGTCCTTAGCATTGCTTGTGCTTTGATTGGCAGGGACGCAATGGGACAGCCAAATCGCAGGGTTTGGCACCGATTCCTGAACTGCGAGAAGAAAACACGCCAGCAATGGATGCTCTGGACCTTGTACGACTGAGGCACTTCCAGCATTGCTCCTTCTGGGGCTGCTGTCTTGGCAGGCATGGATCAATTTTGTGTGCTGACTCAGCTAAGTTCTGTCAGTAGGTCTAATGACTGTTGGGGCGTTAGCGACCTTGACTTCTGATAATTTACAATTCAACACCCGGTTAATATAGAACCTGAAAATGGACCTCTAGAAGACTCTTAAGTCTAGAAGACTATTTTCTCGACAAAACAGGTGGTTTTCAGGTTTAACGTTTGACTAACCTGGTGTAGATGTTTCTACACGATCTCGATTCGGACGTACAATGTAGAGCATTAACGCAAGCCAAATTCAGATGTACAGGACGAAAACTCGTGTTGTGACCAACAAGAAGCTACGAACGTAGCAAAGGGCATCGCTACTCGGAACAAAGGGCATTACTGCAGCATTCTTGCTATTAGTAACAAGAGGCTACTAGTAGCTAGAAGCTTCCTTGGGAATCGTTGCACCTTCCAAAAGGATCCAAAAGGACTCAACATCCTTTGCGACTCCGTGTCTCAGCGGGAATGTCAAGTGGGACAGGTTTGCTTCCTCGGCTCGCTGGGCAGCATGTTCCGTTCCCGTGGAATCAGCGTGAGCGCCCAGGTGGGGAAGACCTCAGATGCTCCAAAGGTTTGTGCATTGTGGTGTGTGTATTTTACGTAGGAAACACTCCAACCTAATAGCAATGGCCTCCAACCTAATTGAATGCAGAAACCAACTCTGAAAATCTAGGTTGGAACCAAAGGAAATGACAAATCCTTTGCACAACGGGAAACATGACAAAACATATTTACTTAGCATCTAGGCAGAAATAAATGGATGCTCCTTGCCTTAGGTGGACTGAACTTACTCAGTATGCCTTGCTACCCAAAGAACGATTTCTAAACGCAACTTTTATAATCCTTTATAATGGCTTGCCCAATGAACTAGGCTCACTCTAGGAACCACTGCCACTGCAAGTTACAAGAAGCCTTTTGACACGAATTGAAAGACCAAACCATGTGCTCAAGGCGAAGCAGCCGCCTCCTCCTCCTCCTGGCATGAAGACAACTCCCAAGCCTGCTGCTGTGTCAGCCAAGCCAGCATCTGCCCCTTCGCCACAGGCCGGCGATTTGATAAAACAATTTAAGATCACTTTGTGATCACTTTGTGCAAGATAGAAGTTCAATTGAAGTTTTTGAAGTTCTCAAGACTTGCAAGTTCTGAAGTTTCCTCATTTGGCATTCCTTCGCTTCTGTGTTCAGAGGCCGCATCCGACGCCTGGCACCAAGAGAGCGCGAGAACGACCCAACTGCATTCTCGGACAAGGATGTAAATCAGCATGTCCCAGGAATATACAAAGGAAAGGAGATGAAGAAAGCAGGAAAGAAGGGCCTAAACGTAAAGAATAGATACAAGTAAAGAAACAATAAGTAGATACTGTAGAAAATGATAGAAAACCGGAAACACAAGAAAACACTGGGCCCATGCCCATGCTATGCAGAGCTGAGGCGAAAGAGTCTGCTGCAGCAACTTTGGCTAAAACCAATGCCTTAAATCGAAGTGTTTTTCCTTTCTTACCTCAGACGATTTTTCAATTGTTTCTTTTTTCCTTTCCGTCTTGTCATTTACATTCAAGAACTCTTGGAGTAGATGTCAGAAAAATACCTGACATGCACATGTCGGACGACAGTTAGATGAACGGACGAAAGGGTGAGGCAATGGCCTCCAACCTACCAGGAGGATGTTTTGTTGTTGTGTTCAGACAACATCAGACAATGGTGACAGCTTCAGGAGGATGAACTCACAGCAGTGAAGATGGCACGTGCAACGATGTCCACTGAACTAGTGGGCCTTGCGAAGGAGTTGGGCATTCAGGATTGGAATGGATTGGAATTCAGTTGCAGTCGAATGCAGTCAGCATGCAGTGCACTAGAACCCGATTTGTGAAACGATGTGCTCCAAGCTACACCAACAAACTGCAGACTTTAAGAGAAGTCTTGTTAGTAGGAGGTAGACGTCCGACAACTGACAGCTACCGAGTCTTGGCGTTTTGACACGTGGCGACCGACGACGTGACAGACCAACATCACCCGCTCCGACTTGCAGCTCTACACCCTGATCAAGGAGAAGGCTGGAAGAGAGTGATTGAAGATATTCGGGGGAGGCCATCGCCAATAGAAATCGAAAAAGAAAAGGAAGAAAGGTGTAATATAAGATAATATAAGTTTGCTATTGTAGGGATTAGTGCTCGGCGGCCTAAAATCCCGAGCACACTGAAGCGTGCCAGGGCTCGCCCAAGCTGAAGGATTTGGGAACGAATCTTGGAAGCAGAGGATGCCCATAGACCGTTTCGGCCACGAAAATAAAACAAAAGATGTTGGTTCGACTATTTTGGGATGCTTTTTTGGCAGCCAAAGTGAAACTATGGCCGCTGGTGGTTTTCTTCCCCGATATTCGGAGTGGCTTTTGTACTGAGACATTTCGTTGCACTTAGGCGCATGGCAGGAGCTGAGCTTGCCCTCATGATGGAGGAGTCAAACCCACAGGCCCTTCCCGGCCCTTCCCCCAACAACATTGAATCAGAAGAAGGGTCAAATGGTGTGCCAAGATCAAGGAAGCGTCCTTGCTCCTAGTAGCGAAGCCGTTTGCTCCTAGTAGCCACCATC